TTCACCCAACAAATGATCAGGCACCATGTCTATTATTGTTAGCCAAAAAAAATTCATCGTGACCATCAGAACTCAAGCACGAGTATTTCAACATCCATTAAAAGGCCATGAAGAATCACTGTGCATTCATGTACCACAACCCCACAGATATTCCTTACAGATCTGTACCTTCTCTTTATGCTGACACAAATAATTTATCTGTTAAGATACTGAAAAACCTTTCCTGGCTGGATTAAAAAAATTACTCCTTCTGTTGCCTTTGCCGGCTCCCCCGTATGCACTGTTCCAAAGCAGTGAAAATGCAGGTTTGCAATGATTGCCAAAACCTATTAAGAGTTACAGCTAGTTTCATTTTCTTCTTTAACCGGAGTACTAAGCCACAAAGGCGGTAACAAGAAGACACCTGTTGCCTGCATTTCTGGTCTCAAAGTCCACGTGTACCAAAGTGCCTGGCAAGTACTGCTGCTACCAACAATGAGACCCAGAGCTGCTTAGCTTCAGCAGGGTGATTGCACATCATGTGCCTTCGGACCACACCCTGCGCACCATGAGTTGGACACAGCATTTCCCCCTGATGTGCAGCTGAGGAGGAATTCTGTTAGATATACCTTTTTAAAAAAAAAAACAACCACCAAGATTCCTGGTTTAAAACAAATACTGCTCAGTTAAACAAGTCAGCTTTGTAACCTTATTGACTTGAAATTGGCTAGTTGACCAACTTTCACTGTTAATATTAATCAGGAGCCTTCCTTGAACCAAGTCACCCTCTGGTTTTTATCTCGGGGAGCTGAAAAGATTTCTGTCATATAGGTAATGTTGTAAAATAAAATAAATGGGTCTTGAAACAACAGGGAGCTGCTTTCTGAACACAATTTCTGGAACACAGTGGAAGGGCTTTGATTAACAACTACCTGTAGTATTAACCCAAAATTACTCATGAGTCTATTTCAAATTTATGTACCTATGTAGTTGATGGATTGTTTAATTTCTATACTGCTTAATATATCAAAAATGTATCTATGTGGTGTACAAAAAAACTGAAGGCACAACAGATTTTTTTTAAAAAAAGATCATGAAACTACAGTGTTACATATAAAAATGCTACATTAATACAAAGTTACACATACAAACAGACACTAATTCACATAAGTGTGTCAATTACCATGTGCACCTCTTCAGCAAAGCCTAAATGGTAGGTCTCTGGGGCAAAGCCACTAATGTGAACATCCTAATTTATTAAGTCACTAGCCACATATTGACAGTAATGATGGGAAGATCCATTCCGCCCATAGGACTTGGGTTGATTTGCAGGGCTTTGGCCAGCGCTTCAGAAATGCAGGGGCTCTTTCCCACCCATCCCCATCAGGCATGGGGCATTTGGAAAAGGGGAGTGAAGATCCAGGAAAGGAACTAATTGTTAGGCTCCCATTGTGGAGCATTCCTCCTGCATCAGCTAAATACCTGGAAGCCCAGGCAGCAGCTGACCCCATCTGCTTTGTCTGGCAATGTTACTCTGTGCACGGTGGCAGGAAACTGGAGCTATCCTGGTCTCTTTCCCATCGAATGCCACTGTTATTCTGCCTAACTCCACCACATCTCACCACTAGGCATTTCTCCTGCAGCCTCTTTGCCCACCTTAATGTCTTCTATCTTTATGTCGAGCATCTCTTCTGGTTCGGCCACTTCTGCCCAATTGTTCAAGTCCTCATCTTCCTGGGCGCTGTCAAAGATCAGTTCAAAGAACACCAACTTCTCCGATATAGTGCTGAAGGAGTTGTCAAAGCACAGCTTGTAATCCCCTCCCTCCGTAGGCTCAATGCTGAAAGATACCAACAAAGAGGATGAGCGAAGGGCTGCGTGATGAAGGCAGATATATCCTGCAAAGCTGGACTGGCCAAAGTGCATTTTAAAAAAAAACACAGATACACAAACTCTTCATACTTTTGCTACTTGTAAAAGCACCTTGACCATGGGCAAGCAATGGATTTCTCGTGAGTATCCCAGCGGGTATGCACACCTGAGGGAGGAGGGGGAGGGCATGGAGGGTGAATGGAGCCCACTTCCAGCTCTCGCCGATGCTGCGGGAGTGACCCCCACTGCCCACCAGAGCCAAGCAGCAGCGCAGGGCTGGCAGGGAGGCGAGGAGCAAAATGCACCCACCCACCCCAAATACACCCAGAGCCACTGCCCCTCTGGCCCTCCCCACTCAGTGCCACTGACGTATCCTTCACTCCAAAGCATAAAAGCAGCATGACTCACGTGTGAACCCCATCGGATCTCCGGTATTCATCAACCAGCAATGTGCCTGAAGGGCTTTCCAAGGAGAAGTCAACGTCCAGCCCTGCTCCACCAATAACCTAAATGACAATAGCAAGAGTTGGATGATGGAAAGAGCTACTATGCCCAGAAAAGCCACCAATGATACAAGAGAAGTGGCAAATGGCTACACATTTTTACAGTATTTAAATATCAGGCAACGTGTTGGGGCTGAGCGACTTTTTTAAAACCCAGCCCGATTTGCAAGACTGTTCTTAGGGTAACTACACTGGGCAACTAGGAAGGAAACAATAAAAACTTCACAACATTATAAACAAACAAACACATAAGACAAACAAACATAAATCATAGCCTTATTAAAAATTACACTTATTAACATTGTTAAGTGACTTCCTCGCTTTCCCTTGGTTGAATTTCATTGCATGTCCTTTTAACGGTTTTCCAAATCACAGTTCTTATAAAATAAAAATTTTATTTTTTAAAATTTAACTTAAACATTAACATCCTTAGATCTTCACATTATGAAATTAAACATATTAATTCATCACTTAACTTAAATAAAAGTTAAATTAAGGAAACAATAAAAACTTGGCAAGGCAATGGCAAACGACTTTTAAGAGGGATCTGTCAGATACACTGGCTGCTCAAACTGTCTCGAAAAGTTACAGGGTTTTGTTTTACTAAGTACCATTTCCCCTCTGAAGAACAAACATGCGAGCATTTTGCTGCTGATAAACCCACACAGAACGCAATACTAAAGGCTCCATGGCTCTGCCGGCTTAAAACGCAGCCAGGTCATTCATTCCCACCCAATTCGGATCAAAGCTGGTTTGGTGGTGGTGCGGGGGGGGGGCGTGTAGGGGAAGTGCATAAAAAAGCAGCGTTTCCTAAGAAAGCGATACGGATCGCGACTAACGTCCTCCTGGATGCGGAGCAAAGGGCAGAGCTGTGCGCGCACAGCCTCCGTCGCGGCACCCAAGGGGGAGCTCCACCTTCGGGGGCAGTCTACCCCCCTATTCCCCTCTGCCACCACCACCAGGGGCTGAGCAGGAAGAAGAGGGCCTGTTGCCCCCCCTCCAATCCCCATGCGCCTGGTTTGGGGGCCGGATTGTGGACCCCTCCCCAGCCTCACCTGGTACTCCAGCTCCATGGAGCCGTTGCCCGGCGCGCCCTGGTAGAAGCACTCCCGGCGCCCGGCCGGCAGCAGGAAGGTGAACTCGGCGTCCTGCGGGGCGGGCGGCGGCGGCGGGTGGGCCTGGCCGGGGACCCCTCGGGGCGCCCCCAGAAGCAGCAGCGGCAGCCCGAGCGCAAGGGCCGCGGCCGCCGCCATCGTCGGGGTCCTTCCTGGCGCCGGAAGGAGAGCGGGGCCGGGCCGCCTCCTTGGAGAGGAAGAGGCGGCCGCGCTCGGGCGGGACGCCGGCGCCGGAGGGCGCGCACAGAGCAGCCGCAGCCTCGCGCTCCGACGGGGCCCGGGGCCGCATTTTTCTTTCTCTCTCCTTTCTACTTATTCGTTATTCGCTTTGTCCGTCGCTTTGTCTTTCTCAGGGCAAGCCGAAGCGGCTGATCAGACAAACTCGGCGGGCAGGAAGCCGCGCGTAAAGGAGGCAGCGTGGCTCGTGTTATCCGCTGCATGGAGCCCATCCTCTTACAAAAATATTTCCGGGGTCCTTGGCCCATTGCAGAATTGGTTCCCCTGACTGGCCACGGGATCAAGAGACCCGACAAGGGGCCTTGTCCTCAGGCATATCCTCCAACATTGAATAGGGACGTTCTTTAATTCTTTCTTTCTTTCTCTCTCTCTCTCTCTCTCTTTCTTTCTTTGCTAATTTTTTTTCTGTTTTACATTTTAGAATATTCATTTAAACAACCTCAAACCAATGACTTCCCTTCTTCTCTTTCCGTGGTTCAATTTACATACCATAAATCCCTGCATATTTTACATAAGCTAAACCATTCAGTATTCCATTCTTACATCCATCAAAACTTATCTACACTGTTGAATTTATCTTGAATAATGCCAGCGTTTTTAAATGTGCACAATTTTCACCCATATATTCAATAAACATTTTTCAATCTTCTTTAAATATATGTTCTCCTTGTTCTCTTATTCTATACATTGTTGTTGTTATACCCCAACCATCTGACTGGCCTGCTCCAGCCATTCTTTGAGTGGCTTCCAACATATATAAAGACATAATAAAACATTAAAACAACTTCCCTATACAGGGCTGCCTTCAGATGGTTACTTATCTCCTTGGTTCCGGGTGTTAGAAGAATTCAAAGGTCTCAAATACAGAATAAAGGTAAAGGTAAAGGTACCCCTGACCATTAGGTCCAGTCGTGGATGACTCGGGTTGCGGCACTCATCTCGCTTTATTGGCCAAGGGAGCCGGCGTACAGCTTCCGGGTCATGTGGCCAGCATGACTAAGCCGCTTCTGGCGAATAAGAGCAGTGCACGGAAACACCGTTTACCTTCCCGCCAGTGCGGTACCTATTTATCTACTTGCACTTGGACGTACTTTCGAACTGCTAGGTTGGCAGGAGCTGGGACTGAACAATGGGAGCTCACCCCATCACGGGGATTCGACCCGCCAACCTTCTGATCGGCAAGCCCTCGGCTCTGTAGTTTAACCCACACAAATATTCATAAATGCACACATATCTAAATATATAACCCAAGTGTCTGAAATAGTACAGGAGAGCAATCCTGAAGTCATTTTGACTCTCCCAATGACCTGAAATATTCCTCTGTGGTAAGGGAGGCAAATAGGGAAAGCCTTCCCATTGTCTTTTCGCTTACAAATCCTGTCATTAATGCCACGTGGGAGGTATAGTTGCGTATTCTAAACAGTGCTGGATCTCTGCCCATGGCACCCTGTTTCATTGTCACAGGGAGCACTCTGGGTTCTGCAGGGCTAGACAGGACACTCATTACAGTAGGGAAGCTATTACAGTAGTTACAAAGCAACCAGTGATTGTGCATTTGTTGTGGCAATGGATTTGAGAGGGAAACAATAAAGTCGTATTCGCAACAGGAAGTTGAAAGGTCTTGTAACTTTGGACAGATTGCAATTTCCTCCTTAGGTGGCGAAACTCCACATTAAGCAAATTGTCTTCTCTTTTTTTGTTCTTTCACATCTTGCAAGGAATTTGCAATGAACAGTTGGCTTTTTCCATCTCTGTTTACAAAAGATACAAAATGCTCCACAAAACCATGGATCTGAAAATTCTCTTTCTTCTGCTAGCTGGTATGTTTTCTGCTATTTTTTTACGCCTTCTTTTGTGCAAGGACTTTCTGACGGCTACCCCAAAGGGAGAGGGGAAAAAATGAAGGGAGGGAAAACTAACCAGGTGTTAGTTTGTACGGGAGGCAACTTACTGTCAATGTTACACTGAGATGTTGACTTTTCGAGTAGGTTTTGGCCTTACTAAACCATTGGATGGGATTCTAAGAAGACCTGTTACAAAGAGGAGGGCTGAAGGTGAGGAAACATTCTTTGATGTTAAACAGCCTGCAATGCTCAATTAAAAATATATATATATATTGGAAGAGGGAACGAGGCTACGCGAATAAATAACAAATTCATATCTGACAGGAAAGAGGTCATAAGTAAACAAAGCAGGCTGGAATTTTTGATAGTGTTCTATAATATTCAGTTTTGGATAGTGCCCTGTTGCACACTTTCAGGGAATTTTGTAAGGTGTGGGTGCAAGAGCACAAAACCAAACTACCATCTCTATCATGTTTCATATGATTCTTGTTTATATATTACGGCTGATTCCTGTTTATATAATTTTGATGATAATTTTGATGATGATGTTTTGCCCAAGCATTAATGCAAAACATCAGTACCTTTTTTATTTTTAAAAAGCTTTCTAAATAACTAAAGCATTTTATAAATATTAAAAAGCCTTAGGGAAGGCTTTTCCCTAACGCCAAAATTTGGATAGGTTCTTAAAACGACGTTAGAAGCACAAGAAGGGTAAATTTCTGCTCATTTCAGAAGCCGAGAAGCTTGCAAGCATAGTGTGAATTTTGCTCTGCGGCATTCACAGCGTAAGGAGAAAAAAATATGAATTGCCCCCCCAGAGGCCCAACAACATCATACGTAGCCAATTTTGTGGCGGAGCTGAACAGATTCTGCTGTGCAGTTACATTATAGAATGGTTAGAATCATATAATTGTAGAATTGGAAGGGACCCTAAAGGTAAAGGGACCCCTGACTGTTAGGTCCAGTCGTGAATGACTCTGGGGTTGCGGCGCTCATCTTGCTTTATTGGTCGAGGGAGCCAGCGTATAGCTTCTGGGTCATGTGGCTAGCATGACCAAGCCACTTCTGGCGAACCAGAGCAGTGCACGGAAACGCCGTTTACCTTCCCGCCAGAGCGGTACCTATTTATCTTCTTGCACTTTGACGTGCTTTCGAACTACAGTGGTACCTCGGGTACTTAATTCGTTCCGGAGGTCCGTTCTTAACCTGAAACTGTTCTTAACCTGAAGCACCACTTTAGCTAATGGAGCCTCCTGCTGCCGCCGTGCCACCGGAGCCCGATTTCTGTTCTCATCCTGAAGCAAAGTTCTTAACCTGAAGCACTATTTCTGGGTTAGCGTAGTCTGTAACCTGAAGCGTATGTAACCTGAAGCGTATGTAACCTGAAGTACCACTGTACTAGGTTGGCAGGAGCAGGGACTGAGCAACGGGAGCTCACCCCGTCGCAGGGATTCGAACTGCCAACCTTCTGATCGGCAAGTCCTAGGCTCAGTGGGTCATCTATTCCAACCCCCTGTAATGCAAGAATCTCAGCTAAAGCAGCCCTGACAGACGGCCATCCAACCTGTCATTAAAAACCTCCAATGAAGGAGAGCCCACCACCTTCCACTGTCGAACAGCTCTTACCGCCAGAAAGTTCTTCCTGATGTTTGGTCAGAATCTCCTTGTAACTTGAAGCTATTGGTTCCAGTCTTACCATCTGGAGCAGGAGAAAAAAAGCTTGCTCCATCCTCCATGCGACAGTCCTTGAAAATGGCTGTCCTATTTTCTCTCAGTCTTCTCTTATCCAGGCTAAACATACCCACTCCCTCAACCGTTTCTCATAAGGCTTGGTTTCCAGGCCCTTCATCATCTTGGTCACCCTCCTCTGCACACATTCCAGCATGACAATATCCTGCTTAAATTGTGGTGCCCAGAACTGGACACAGGACTCCAGGTGGGGTCTACATTGGTTTGCTGTACAGCTTCTCTAACTTGAAGACCTGAGCACAAAAGGAGGGCAAGAACAGGCCCCTCTGATGTGGAAATTGTTGGAAAGGAGAAGTTGCAGCATTCAGAGCAAAGGGTAGGAGAAAGGCTTGAGTGGCAGGCAATTCCAAACATTTATATTTTATTGAAAATTTCCAGTGGACAGATAAAGTGAACGAATTTGAACAAGAAGGGAAAATAAATAAATTTTTATCGACACATGAAAGTTGGGTTTTCTGAGCTTGGAAGCAGGGTGACAACAGAAGCTTGACAGGAAAAATATTGGTCCAGGGTGTTTTGATCATTATGTTATGTCCTCTTAAAAGGCTGGTTATTCCACAGTAATTGCCCAAGGTGGAAACAGCCTTAACTAGACAGCCAGTCTGAAAGCACCCAAAGAACACCCCACCCCACCCACCCAGTCTAAGAACACCAGCTCTGAATTTTCTGAAAATTTGACCACAGTGCTTATGGCTGTTGGTTTTTCTTTTTCTTTTCATGATTTGAGAGCTCACAAAAACTGATCAAGACAAGGTGGACATCTATACCACATCTGCTGTAGAAAAGACTAGCATTGCTTCAGCAGATTCCTACTCGTACAATCACTTGGCTGTGCCTTTTGAAAGTACCACCTCGTTACTGATGAAACTACATCATCATCATCATCATCATCATCATTATTATTATTATTATTATTATTATTGAAACCTCTTTCCATTGTGCTGTTTCAGGCTCTTCGGTGGCTTCCAGCCTTCTTCCCTCTCCACTTATTTTTCTGGATGTGCTTTCCGACACACTCAACGAAGGAGACTCCATTAAGATTGCATGTTTGGCACCCAGGCAGTACAAGGATGCCTTGTTTTATTTGTTCAAGGTGAGCCATGGGGAGCCGCTGCAGGTTGTGCATGCCGCAGAAGCACAGCACCAAGTTATTTTCCTTCTGGAGAACATCACTCGCAGTGATGGAGGGGAGTACAAGTGCCAGTTTGGCGTCTACAATGGAAGTGCGTTGAAACCGTCTGAGTTTAGCAACCTCCTTGAGATTACAGTGGAAGGTGAGTGCTACCAAAGCTAGATGAGCTCATTTTGGGGGATTGGTTGCACCCACACTGCTTGCAAGCCATGACCCGCATCACACCCCATTGTAGAGGCTACGCCAGAGCTTTCCAAACTCTGTGTCGTGACACGTTAGTGTGTCAGCTGCAGTGTTTAGGTGTGTTGTGTGAACCCTCCCTGTGCTCCTCCTGGGGCTGGAAAGGGGTTAGTTTAACCTCTGGTTTGCTAGGAAAATGGAATGAAGCATGTCTAAAAAGTGTCATCGGCATGAAAAGGTTGGAAAGCCCTGGTCTACATAGTATGGTGAGAGTCTTGACTTTTGGATTCTAGGGCAGAGGTTCCCAAACTCCGCCCCCCCCCCCCGGGTCACACTTTCAAAATAAAAAAATTCATGCCACAACAAACAAATATATATATATATATATATATATATGAATGAAATACACGGGGGGGCACACAATTCCTAGCAATGCTTGATTTGTAACATGGAATGGAATGCTTGATTTATAACACATAACACAACTAAAATAATTAAAAATATGTTCCAGTAGTGTCCAAACTTTTTTCAAAGAGGGCCAGATTTTATGAAGTGAAGGGCCGTGAGGGCCGACCAAAGTTGTGCTTTTAGGATTGAAGTTGTTGACCTTTTTATGATTATATCCCAAAGTAGTTGAGCTTTTTTTAGGATTGAAGTTGTTGAGGTTATACTGCGATAGGCCGGGTTAAACCCACCAACCCCCGAAACAGACTTTGGACATGCCTGGCTTACTATACTGCACTGAAATGTTAAAATGCTTCTTTGATTATCCTTGAATCTTTCCCACCACACTTGCCATCCTCTTCTGCCACATCAGTGTTGCGTGCCACAACCTTGGAGAACCATTGCTATAGGGAAAAGGTTGGGAATATGTTCACAGACTCATGGAGTTGGAAGGGACCCCATAAGGGTCATCTAGTCCAACCCCCTGCAATGCAGGAATCATTCACTTAACATGGGTCTCAAAACCATGACCCAGAGATTAAGAGTCTCATGTTCTACCAACTGAGCTATACCTTGGTAGGGATATCCCTTGCTCTGGCAGGGTTTTCACAATATTGGTCAGGGCCTGCAATTAGCACCTGACAAACTTGGAAACCTGTTGGAGCACTAAGAGGGACCACCACTGATTTATCTCCTAAGCCCCCCTCTTAAAAACAAACAAACCCTGGCCTGGTATTCTTAGAAGTGCTGGGCAGTCTAGATAGTATGCAGAGGATCATGATTTCTCTCCCTGGAAGGTGGTGGGACAGAAAGGAAACACAAACAAGCTATAAAGAAAGATTAAAATAATCTATGAAACCCAGTGAGCTTTGTGGCTGAATGGGTCCTAGATCAACACTTTAACCGTTGCACCACAACAGTGCATGTATAAATTTTGTATAAATTTTAATTGGTAATGCAGGTCCAGGGTGGAGTGACTTTGGGGATGGGCAGGAAAACACAACCTGGAGACTTTCTGTCAAGCTCTGCCCACTGGTGTGACTCAAGAGCAGTGGAATAGCAATCAATACCCATGTCAGTAACGTGGCTCACCAGAGCGCAGGGGAAGAGTCAGGCTCAGAAATTGAGCTAAGTGAGAGAGAGACAGACTCTGCAGATGAGAGCTGTCTGACAGAGCCGAGAAGGGGCAGTTCAACCACGCCCCTTCCAGAAGAAGACACTGTTAGCTCTCAAGAAACGGGAGAGTTAGGAGGCAGCCAGAGTGTTGCTAGGCAATCAGCAGATAAGCAGAGGACTGAGACTGTGTCAAGTGAAAGTGGGGAGGAGGAAGGCCAGCCGCTCAGTCCCCGTTCTAGGAGACTGGATAAGATCAGAAGACAACAGAAGGGCAAGAGGGGAAGGGCAGGAGTTTGGCGTCCTTCCTGCTGTGGCAGGGGCAAAGATTCAGACTGACCAACTATCGTCAATGTGAGCAGGCAAGAAGCCGTGCTCTGGATGTGGTTTTTTTGTAAATAAACATACATAAAACTGCCGGAGAGTCATTACTTCTTATCTGGGCTTGCTTGCCTGCCTGAGATCATTGCAATCCATGACTTAAAAAAAGCCAGAATATGTAGAAGCTGATGTACCAAATGTGCCCACAGAAAAAACTGGATCTTTTAATTATCTGGAAGCACCCATTTTTCTGTTCCTGGAGACCATGTTTGGCTCTTGGAAGGGTGGGGAGATGACTGATTTTAGCAAACCACTTTTGCTTTTACATTTATACATTCCTCTTAAAAAGGAAAAACTGCCTGGTCATCTCTTCTTTTTCTTTTTGTTTCAGCATCCAGCTTGACCACTTTCCCTCCAACAGCTCAGCCGAGATCTGATTCAAAAGGTAGGCGCTAAAGGGAAGATAAGCAGTGTGCGTTTGGGAAACGTGTCAGAGGGCCCCTGGGGGAATGTTTGGGGAAAGATGCACGGAAGTGTAGCCAAAAGGCCTTTTGGAGCCTACGTGGGGCAGGATAGGGGAGAGAAAGAGGACAAGTACACACCCACCCACTGCTCCACACTCCAGAAAAGTAGATTTGTATTTTCTTGCTTTGTTCTCTTGCATTAACTGTAGCTGACTTGCGGCCTCCTTTTCCAGGTCCATTCTGGGTTCTCCCCGTTGTCCTGAGTGTGGTTGGAGTACTGCTCCTGGCGGTGATCCTGCTGGTGGCTGCAGTTGCATTGAGACGCTGTATGTGGAATTCAGAAAATGAATATGTCTAATCTTCCTGTTTAAGGGCACTGGCCAATAAGGATGATGCCTAGCCTAGGTTGGAGACCTCTAAGACTTTCTTACAGACCCTGATTCACTTTGTGGCCTATTGGTATCTTACTTGACGACAAAGATTTTGCCAAAACAGTCCCTAACCGTGAGTGCACGATACGCGACAGTGATGGAAAACTGGATGAGGAGGTTATACTACTAGACAAGCTTTAGCTGTAAAATATCTGAAAGATTTATATTCTCTCTGCTCTGAAAGATAATTACTTTCTTAAATAGAGAATCCAGATTACATCATTATCAGCCCATTGCAGACCAATGTTTTTCTTTAGTAATAATATACAATATGAGCAGGAACAGCACTATTATGGCTTTCTAGGGCTACTGTGTCTTTAATTAGAAGTTTCCTCCTTGTAACCTCTGTAATTCGTTCCCATTCACTTTGAGATTGGCCTTGAATTAATCAGTTACTGTTTTTTATGCAGAGAGGCAGAATATTTTAATTACTGGTTTCCTCTTTGCAGCCAAAGAAATAACTCATTTTTTTAAAAAAACACTGTTTCATCTAATTGCAACTGTGTGTTTAAAAAGAAAATGAATATTAGTATCATCCTCCACATCCCTTGCTTCCTGAAATATCTCTTCTGATTAAAAGCTTGCCACAAGATTGTGACATTTTGGTTGGTCCTAATAAAGATATCATCCAACGATATATTTCTGAGGTTTTTTCTTATGGACCAACACTGCTACCTTGTCTGTGTATGTGTGTAGAATATGTGAATACTTATTTTTGCATCTTTTTTCCTTTATTGTGTATTTTCCCCATATTTGCTTCAATTAAAAACAAATTTCAATTAAAAAAAACTTTAGCTGCAGAGAGGAGACCAGTAATTAGCCCCCACTCCAGCAGCGAACAGGAACTGACTAATTAAGGAACAATTTAGCTGAACATTATTATTATATTATATTATATTATATTATATTATAGGGACAGAAGACGCAAAGAGGAAGCTTCTAGTTAAAGGGAAAACTGAAGAGGACCTTTGCTGAATGGGACTTACTTCTGAGTAAATATTATAGCAGTGTTCTGACCATGGGCCTGAGCATTACTAGATAATAAAGTTCTATTATTAATTGCCATGTAGAAACACCATTTTAAATCCACTTCCAGGCGATTATGGAAAGCAATGCCTCAGAAATGCTAAAGGGTCCTATGGTGAACTTGGCAGACTAGGCCGGTCCCACAAATGTTCCTGGTACAGTGGTGCCTCGCAAGACGAAATTAATCCGTTCCGTGAGTCTCTTCGTCTTGCAGTTTTTTCGTCTTGCGAAGCACGGCTATTAGCGGCTTAGCGGCTATTAGCGGCTTAGTGGCTATTAATGGCTTAGCGGCTTAGCGGCTATTAACGGCTTAGCGGCTTTAAGAAAAAGGAAACAAACTCGCAAGAACTCGCAAGACGTTTCGTCTTGTGAAGCAAGCCCATAGGGAAATTCGTCTTGCGGAACGACTCAAAAAACGGAAAACCCTTTCGTCTAGCGAGTTTTTCGTCTTGCGAGGCATTCGTTTTGCGGGGCACCACTGTAAATTAGAGTATTTCAGTCTTAAAGTCTGGTGCCTCCTTCCCGAAGCCTGGGAAGATTCTACCTTGCTTAGGGAGGGAGGCATGATGCTCCAGACAGGGTCGAAGAGCCCTCCTGCCACCTTCCCACAGCCTGACTGATTTTGGGAAGGAGGCAGGAGGTCTTCAGCATCCTGTCAGAGGCGTGGCTCCTCCTTCCCAAAGCCTGGAAAGATGCTCGCATGTGTGACATTTCTCCACCCGCCCCATTGCCCTTGCAAGCTGGTGCCTGAGGCCCTATCTGTTCTCCTATGAAAAATTTCACCACACGCTACGTCTGAGTAGTTTCACCTCAGTATTCACATTGTTGACACAGTTCCGGTTCATAGCTGTCAACATTTCCCTTTTTAAAAGGGAAATTCACTTATTCCGAATAGGATTCCTCACAAGAAAAGGGAAAAGTTGACAGCTATGTATCCGGTTAGTTAATCCTTGTCAAGGTAAAAATGCCCCCATCCTTGCCATTTCCACATCTGGCCAGTGTGTGAAGTGGATTGCCAAAGCGTGTGCAGATGGCAGGGAAGCATGGCTGCTGCACACATCAGCAACCCCTCTCGTTGGGTGCATGCACTTGAAACTCCCGGATCTCTGTTGGGAATAAGGCCTAGAGCTGGCAATGAAGGGGACCGCGAGGACAGAGCAATGTGTGCCCAGGTATCTGCAGAGTGGTAAGAGAAGCCATTGTTATGCATGGGGGTAAAAGGCAGGAAATTTAGGGTCACAAGCTGGGTGATGTATGCCATAAGTGTGGCATGCATCTCCATCCCCACCTCCGAGGGCCTTCTGATGGTTCCCTCACTGCAAGAAGCGGAGTTACAGGGAACCAGGCGGAGGGCCTTTGGGGTGGTTGCACCCACTCTGTGGAACGCCCTCTCAGCTGATGTCAAACAGATAAACAGCTAGGTGATTTTTAAAAGACATCCGAAGGCAGCCCTGTTCAGGGAAGTTTTTAGTGTGTGATGTTGTATTGTGCTTTTACTATTTTCTGTTTGGAGCAGCCCAAAGTGGCTGGGGCGACCCAGTCAGATGGGGGGCATATAAAGTTGTTGTTGTTGTTAAATTTGCAGCCCTCAACTGGACACAAGCAGTAGGGACTTTGTACCCTCAGAGTGCCTAATAATGTCAGGACTGCATTTCCTTTTCTGATGCTTCCCTCTTGTTTCTTCCCATTTTACTAGTTAAAGAGAGAAGAAAGAAGCAAAGGTGAGAGGAGCTCACCCCCATTTATGCAGTTTCAAAAAACTCTGGTCGAGGTGAAATATTTCCGATGTGTCCTGAAAGTCGGGGGGTGCAGAGGGGCAGCCCTGTGCCTGGCTGGAGTAGGGAATTATTGGGGCAGAGGCAGAGAGTAGCTTTTCCCCTTGTGGAAGTTTCTCCTGAGGGGCTTGCTTGAATAAAGTTTTCCCCAGCTAAGGGGTGACTATCAAAGAATGGTAGAGTTGGAAGGGACCCTGAGGATCATCTAGTCCAGCCCCCTGCAATGCAGGAATATGCAGCTGTCCAGGGATTGAACCTGCAACCTTGGCATTATCAGCACCACGTTCTAACCAACTGAGCTATCCTGGCACAATAGAAAAGCAACATGGAACACAAAGGGGTTATATTGTCCTACAAAGTGTGATGGGCGAACAAGCAGCCTTGCTTATAGCGATCACCACACTCCATGCAGTAGAGGGCAGAGCTTGCTCCAGTTGAAATCCACTTGTCTATACAACAGACCCAGGAAACGGGGTCTTGTCCTTGTGCCTGAAAGCATAAATCAAACCTGATAAATTAGGATAAATTAGCCAGGTGGGAAACTAATGTAGGCAGTAACTCTCAGCAGCTTTCTTTGGGAGAGCTAACAAGTACTGCAGAATTGCAGAATATTCCCGTTAGTTATATATATTTTTATTTGCTTAGGGTACTGGACTCCTGCTGGACAGAAACAAGCTACCCCGCCACAGGTATGTTAAATGTAAGTGCCAAGGACGTGTGACTGCACATTTTCCGTGGCTGCTTCTGTTTGCATTTGTGTATCAGAGGCAGGTGAAGCATCAGCCTAGAGAAATCAGTGGTCACAAATACCACCTGAATGCTGAGCTTGGGACAAGACCCAGCAATGGGGTCAAGGATATCGGTTGTGCTCTTATTCCTGAGCAGGGCTATGCAGCTTTATATTCATTGGCACGCAAAAGAGAGGAGCCCATTCACTTCGCATCACAACCGAGATTTTGCAAGTGATTGTTTGCTTATCATTGGCAACATATTATTTACATCAGGAATTGAAGAAATACAGGTGAAAAATGAGTCTGGCCCAGTTAAAAGCAGACAAAGCCAGGAACAGAGGAGGAAAGGACTACTGCTCATGTTGGTGGCCCAATGCCCAGGAAAAAGAAAGCTTTGCCTTAGCAAAACAAGTTCTCTCCAGGCCAAAGCCATACTCTACAAACAGGGGGAGATGCAGGCATATTACATACTGTGTTCCATTCCTATTATTGGCATCTCTAGACTACTGTAGGGACGCGGGTGGCGCTGTGGGTTAAACCACAGAGCCTAGGACTTGCCAATCAGAAGGTCGGCGATTCGAATCCCTGCAACGGGGTAAGCTCCCGTTGCTCGGTCCCTGCTCCTGCCAACCTAGCAGTTCGAAAGCACGTCAAAGTGCAAGTAGATAAATAGGTACCGCTCCAGCGGGAAGGTAAATGGCGTTTCCGTGCGCTGCTCTGGTGAACCAGAAGCGGCTTAGTCATGCTGGCCACATGACCCGGAAGCTGTACGCCGGCTCCCTCGGCCAATAAAGTGAGATGAGCGCTGCAGCCCCAGAGTCGGCCAAGACTGGACCTAATGGTCAGGGGTCCCTTTACCTTTAGACTACTGTAAGAGAAACCTTGTTCCTATGTTATGTTGCTGTGCTGACAGTGGAAAGTTCCAGAGGGAAGGGACAGAAAGTAAAGTAGCAGAATAACTTTTTAATTCATTTGTACTGAATGCTTTCCACCCTCTTTCCTTTTTTTTCACTGAAAGAACAAAGATTACACCCATCAGTTCACTGAAAAGGAATTAGAGCTGGTGTTGATAATCTTACCATTACATGTCATAACTTCCTTGATTCTGTGTGATCCCACATGATCAATGAAAAGAAGATATTACAAGTGCTGTTTGGTTGCTTTTAGATGTTAAGACATTTGTGTAACTAAAGTTTATTCAGTTATCAAGTAACCTTGTTCACACTGCTTCTTCCGCAGAGACATCCTTTGATAACTCCATGTACACTATTACAATGGTAAGTTGTTAACATGGGAGCCAGAACTTGGAATCTAGTTGCTTTTAGGAATTGAGATCAGAGAGTTCTGTGGGCTATTATAAAGCAGTCTCTCCATGGCTAGGAATAACCCCAAGGCAGTCACAAAAAGAGCTGGGTAGCAAGGATATATGTTATGGCATCCAACGTATCATGAGAGAGAGAAATTTAATGGTGATTTGGCTGTTATGTAGAGCTCATTCCCATGGTTTAGCTCTCCCCATTCTAGTCTTTTTTGTCTCCTTAATTTATCTCCATCTTGGCATTTTTATCTCGCAAGAAAACGGACCAGGAAGCTATAGAGAACAACGGTGCTTGGATCTCGTCAGCTACAAGTACAAGACTTTCATCCCGCTGCTCTGTGGAAAAGCCAGATTTTTGTACTTTTAGAGGATCAGAATGACCTTTCACTTGATCACACGGCTCAGGATCTCTCTGATAATCTTCATCCCTGACATCAATACCCTGCAAGTTGTTCCTCTCAGATCATCAACAGAAACATCGACCGTTTTTGGCCAGAGTCTCCTGGTCCCTGCCATCACAAAGTTCCATCTTCACCTTTCTAAGTTCTCTTCCACTGCCAATCACACATTCGGAACTTGGCTCATGTGGAGGTGGGGAAGATGTTGCTGATTCCATCCATTTCTGGAATTCCTGATTTGGGAAAAGTAGGAACAATGAGGATGAACTTTGAGAGTTCTTCAGCTCTGGGACTGTGGCAAGACTGGAAGGAGATGAATAAAAACTGGGTGATTTAACCATCAAAAAGAATGCCATTCCCTGCACATTTGCATGTTTGAGACAAAAAGAACAGTTTTTGTTTTTATTCTGCTGAAAACAGCAGCATTTGTATCGCATATCCTCAGACTTTCTTTAAGTGCCTGCAACCAAGTGTTTTGCTCTACCTTCCAAAAACACTGGGAAATTCAGAATAACTTTCCTGGATCAAAAGCAATAGTGAATTCTGGGGCACCTTAAAGACTAATGAACATATCTGTTGTGGCATAAGCTCTTACTGAAAAGAAACTGATACCTGCAGTGGCTCGCATAATATTTTCCAACTGTTCCTCTGCCAGGCAAACTGGTCCATCAGGCAGGCTGCTCTTTTGGTCCGGCTAAGATGGTTACTACTGATCCTTCACTTGCATACATGTAAATTAGTCAGTTGCCTTCCCTCAACAGGCAACAACATGAACAACGCTGTGGGGTGGGGTGACTGCAGCGGGTGGGGTGACGGCAGGGCGGGGTATGCTCTGGATTTGGGTGAGAAAACGTTGGAGAGTATGCTTCCCCCTACTGCCAATCTGCTGCAATACCCTGTTGCAGCCTTTCTCAACCTTGGGTCCCCAGACGTTGTTGGACTACAACTCCCATCATCCCTAGTCCTGGTAGCTAGGGATGATGGGAGTTGTAGTCCAGCAGTGCACAGGAAATGCCAGCAGTGGCTAAGGAATTCTGGGGACAAATTTGTGGAAGGTGTGGCTATCAATTGCTCCTGCCAGCCTAGCAGCTCGAAAGCACGCCAGTGCAAGTAGATAAATAGGTACTGCTGTGGTGGGAAGGGAAATGGTGTTTCCATGTGCTCTGGTTTCCGCCACGGTGTCCCATTGCGCCAGAAGCAGTTTAGTCCTGCTGGCCTGGTTTAGTCCTGTTTGTCCTGTCTGTGGACAAACGCCGGCTCCCTCAGCCTGAAAGCGAGATGAGCACCGCAAAACCCATAGTCGCCTTTGACTGGACTTAACCGTCCAGGGGTCCTTTACCTTTTTACCTTTCACCAGCTGCCACTGGTGCTCTATTTCCACTATCGGAGGCAGCCCACCTCTGAATGCCAGTTGCTGGCAATTGTAGTTGGAGAGAGTACTCTTGTGAGCAGATTTGGCTTGCAGGATTCCTGTATGCACCTGGTTGGCCGCTGTGAAAAGAGTTCTGGGCTACATGGGCCTTTGGCTTAATTCAGCAGGCCTCTTATACTGCCCAGGGCCCCTCTGGGAGGAAGGGTGGGATATTAAATAAATAAATGCAAATGTTCTCAGACAGCATGCACTTCTTGAGAGAGTCACATGGAGAGGCATACACACCTAACTGCAAGAAAATTTCAGGATGCAGCGCAACATTGCAGCATCCTAAAGCAAGGGGCTCCACAAAATCTGGGCTGCAAGGACCATGGAGATTCCTCTCTTTCCCAGTTTGCAGTCTGCAGCATCCAGTTTTGAATCCAGATAGAAGGTGCCATTCTTTTGGAATGTTTCTGGATTTAAACTTCTGTTTGTTTGCCTTGCTAGGAAGTGAGCGAGGTCTAGGACATCTGATGCCAAGAACGGGGGCTCTGGGCTCTGGTGACAACAGCAGCGGTGACTCTGCGTTCTTCAGCTGCGCTTCTCCTTCCTCTGCATCTTAGATTCCCTTTCCAGTGTAAAACCTACTTTTTTTAACCTGTATGGGGGCAGAAGATGGACCAAGCAGCTTGGCAGACGTATTTGGCTTCAGCATAATCTCTTGAAGCCGTTTTCTGTCTCAGTGAAAATGAGAAGCATATTCTAACGCACACAAACACCCCAAAAAGAAAGTGGAGCTCATCTGTGTGTCACACTGAGCATTTCTATTTAAGCAGTTATGTTTGAGGAAAGTCTACTGACCACTGCCAAGGAATGTACCAGCTCATTAAGGAGTGACTATGGTGTTATAATGGGATGCGGGTGGCGCTGTGGTCTAAACCACTAAGGCTAGGGCTTGCTGATCAAAAGGTTCAAATCCCCGCAATGGGGTGAGCTCTGTCCCAGCTCCTGCCAACCTAGCAGTTCGAAAGCACGCCAAAAAGTGCAAGTAGATAAATACATACTGCTCCGGTGGGAAGGCAAAAGGCGTTTCCGTGCGCTGCTCTGGTTTTGCCAGAAGCGGCTTAGTCATGCTGGCCACATGACCCAGAAAAACTGTCTGCGGAGCGGACAAACGCTGCAACCCCAGAGTCGTTCGCAACTGGACTTAACTGTCAGGGGTCCCTTGACCTTTTTATGGTGTTATAAGTTGGTATTTCAGGATGTGGGTGGCGCTGTGGTCTAAACCACTGAGTCTCTTGGGCTTGCCGATTGGAAGGTCGGCGGTTTGAATCTCATTGACGGGGTGAGCTCCCATTGCTCTGTCCCAGCTCCTGCCAACCTAGCAGTTCGAAAGCACACCAGTGCAAGTAGATAAATAGGTACCACTTTGGTGGGAAGGTAAACGGCGTTTCTGTGCTGGTTTCTGTCACGGTGTCCCGTTGCACCAGAAACAGTTTAGTCATGCTGGCCACATGACCCGGAAAGCTGTCTGTGGACAAATGCTGGCTCCCTCGGCCTGAAAGCGAGATGAGTGCTGCAACTCCATAGTCACCTTTGACTGGACTTAACCATCCAGGGGTCCTTTACCATACCTTTACCTTTTACCTATAAGTTGGCTTTCAGGTCTCATGTTGCAAGGAGGAATTATCTTGAAATTCAGCCTAAGCGAGGTCCACAAATGGAGACAGATACCAAGAATGATGCTGGTCAGTTAATTTGCACAGGTGAATGGGCTCAATCCCTTTACTTGTTTATTTTCTTTATTTTTACCCTGCCCTTCCTCCAAGGAACTCAGAGTGGCATACACACTATTTTCCCTCTCACAACAGCCTTGTGAGGCAGCTTAGGCTGAGAGATAACTGACTTGGTCAGGGTTGCCCTGAGAGTTTCATTGCAGTTGGGATTTGAACCACGAGTCCATGTCTCACATTCTAAACCACTACAGATTTCCCTGCTCTGGCGCTGCAAACTTTGATGCAAGAGGAAGTGAGTGAAGTGGGGTATGACCAATATTTCTCAACACTGGGCAATTCAGACCTCAACCCCCTGCTCTCAGAACAGCTGCTGCTCTCAGTTCTCTGCTACTATTTCCAGAACTGCTCTCCTCCACACAGTGCAACTTTATTTCTGCTCACACCACACTCGGTTCCTTTGTCCTGCTACAAACATCTTGAAGCTTTGGTGGCCACGTCAACCGCTTTGCAGAATGAAGCTGTGCAGGGACTGTACCACTTCAGTGGGGGATTTGTATGTTTGTGTGCTCTTCCTTGCAGGGGCAAGAAGGAGGGGACTCATTGCATACAGGCAAAGCAGCATGTCAGAAGGGGTTGGTTTTAGCTTCCTGGCAACACTGTTTTTAAATTTTGATTGTCCCACCCGTCCACCCGTTCTTCCAGAGGGAAAAGCTCCCCTGTTGCCTCTGCGTTCTGCTATGCTTCTTGGGGGGGGGGGGAGTGTGAACCTTGTCAGTAAGTAAGTACATAAATAAATAAATAAATAAATAAATAAATAAATAAATAAAATCTTTGTCTATCTTTTTTGTTGAACTTTATTATTATTATTATTATTATTATTATTATTATTATTATTTATTATTATTGAGTGCAGAGAATAATTAAGATTAAGAAAACCAAAATGCAAAGCGGCCCCTTGCGCACCTGCCCTATATGGCCTTTGAACCTGGAGGTCCCATTACAGTTGATGACAAGACTTCTCAAAAGAACTTGTTGAGAGAAGTTTTTAATATGTAATGTGTCATTGTGTTTGTAATATTCTGTTGGGAGCCGCCTAGAGTGGCTGTGGCAACCCAGCCAGAAGCGCGGCATGTAAATAATAAATTATTATTATTATTATTATTATTATTATTATTATTATTCAATCCCCTGGCTGCTGCCACCACTTCCTTATGGCAGTGCAGTTTATTTGAAAAGCACTGTAAGGGAAAGCAACCTCTTCTGCGCTCCTACTTGCTTGACTTTGTTGTTGTTTAGTCGTGTCCGACTCTTTGTGACCCCATGGACCAGAGCACGCCAGGCACTCTTGTCTTCCACTACCTCCCGCAGTTTGGTCAAACTCATGCTGGTAGCTTCGAGAACACTGTCCAACCATCTCATCCTCTGTCGTCCCCTTCACCTTGTGCCCTCCATCTTTCCCAACATCAGGGTCTTTTCCAGGGAGTCTTCTCTTCTCATGAGGTGGCCAAAGTCTTGGAGCCTCAGCTTCAGGATCTGTCCTTCCAGTGAGCACTCAGGGCTGATTTCCTTAAGAATGGATACATTTGATCTTCTTGCAGTCCATGGGACTCTCAAGAGTCTCCTCCAGCACCATAGTTCAAAAGCATCAATTCTTCGGCGATCAGCCTTCTTTATGGTCCAGCTCTCACTTCCATACATCACTATGGGAAAAACCATGGCTTTAACTATACGGACCTTTGTTGGTAAGGTGATGTCTCTACTTTTTAAGGTGTTGTCTAGATTTGCCATCGCCTTTCTCCCAAGGAGCAGGCGTCTTTTAATTTCGTGACTGCTTTCACCATCTGCAGCGATCATGGAGCCCAAGAAAATAAAATCTCTCACTGCCTCCATTTCTTCCCCTTCTATTTGCCAGGAGGTGACGGGCCCAGTGGCCATGATCTTTGTTTTTTTGATGTTGAGCTTCAGACCATATTTTGCGCTCTCCTCTTTCACCCTCATTAAAAGGTTCTTTAATTCCTCCTCACTTTCTGCCATCAATGTTGTGTCATCTGCATATCTGAGGTTGATTTTAATTTTATTAATGATTAATTTTTTTATGATAGTTGTTTTCTTTTCTATGTTTTTAGCTGTTCCCATTTTATCTACAAGCTGCCTTGAGTCCCTGTCAGGGAAAAGCGGGGGGGGGGGATAAATAAATCAACAAGAACAACTACAGAGTTTGTCATTTCAGTGCATACCCACTCTGTTTTTGCCCCGCACATGCAGGATATAATAACAACAACAATAACAATAATAACAACAACAACAATAACATCAATAATAAGTACTAGTTTGCTCATGAATTGCAATGCATGCCAACTGCATCCTTGCCCCGTACAATGCAGGATTTTGCCGCTGCGCTTGGGATCCGGAAATGCCGCGCACGAACGCTTCGGCCCTTTATCCTCTCCTCTTTCCCCTTCGCCCGCTTTTCCCCCGCGGGCGCTGTCCCCGCTGGCGGCCGGCAGGGGTCGCCCTCCTCCGCCCTTGTCCCTCGCCTCTCCCTCAGCCTGCCCACTGGCTCCTTCGCGGCGAGCTCCTTCCACCGCCGCCCGCACGGGGCGCTGTCCCACTCGCTGAGCGGCAGCGCTCAGGAGGCGCGGCTTCCGGCCTCTCCTCCTGCTGCTGCGCCTCCTCCTCGGCGCCCCTCACAGCAGCAGCAGCAGCAGCAGCGGCGGCCGCGGGTCGGGCCTGGGATGCCAAGATGGCGTCGGCGGCGTCGGTGTCGGTCTTCCCCGGCGTGCGGCTCCTGACCATCGGCGACGCCAACGGCGAGATCCAGCGGCACCAGGAGCAGCAGGCGCTCCGCCTCGAGGCCCGCACCGGGCCCGACGCCGCCTGCCTCGCCCTCTATAGCCGTGAGTGGAGGCCCGCGAGTGGGGGCGAGAGACGGGGCAGGTGGCCGGGCGGAGGGAAGGGGCCTGCTGGGGCTGAGGGACGGGTGGATGAATGGATGGCTGGCTGGCTGGGGCGCGGAAGGGCCCGCGCCGGTGCCTCTGGGCATGCGGAGAGTGCCGCACCTCCGCCACGCTTCCAGTGACGGGGGCCGGCACTTCGGTTCCCCCGGAATGGCGCCGCCTCACTCTTCCTCCAACTCTCCCCGTACCGAGGAGGAAGGGGGTCAGGGAAGAGGTGCCTCAGGAACGGGGTTGGGATGAAACGCCGACATTGGGATCCTGCCGCCTGAGGCAGTCGCCTTCCCTCGTGGGTGAGCCGGCCATGCATCCCAGGGATAGTCTGCATGTTTTGTGCCACGATGGGCATGTGCTGAGGTGCCGGGCAGTGCTTTTTTCTGGGGGGCGCAAGGGTATGCATACCCCAAACCATTTTGTGAATCTTTGTACTTTTGTCCGTTTACTATATTAATTTAGCAGGATTTGAACTATAAAATGGTGATTTCCTTGAGTCAAAATGAGAGTACAGTGGTACCTCGGGTTAAGTACTTAATTCATTCCAGAGGTCTGTACTTAACCTGAAACTGTTCTAAACCTGAAGCACCACTTTAGCTAATGGGGCCTCCCGCTGCTGCCGCGCCGCCAGAGCACGATTTCTGTTCTCATCCTGAAGCAAAGTTCTTAACTTGAAGCACTATTTCTGGGTTAGCGGAGTCTGTAACCAGACGCGTATCTAACCCAAGGTACCACTGTACCCCTAAACATTTTTTTAGAAAAACAAAAGCACTGGTGCTGGGCCAGGCAGACAGGCTTGAATTGTCCCGATACATCAGGGGTTATCCTTATGTTCTTAAGATGGGGCAGGCAGGCATCGTCCTTGGAAGGAATGGGCTGGGGTGACCGCTCATTATTCTTGCCATCAATTGCATTTGTATCCTGCCTTTCCTCCAGAGAGCTCAGGACGGAATACAGAAATTCTGCTCCTCCACATTTTATGCTCGCAACAACCCTGCAAGGTGGGTTGTTAGGTTGAGAGGCAGCGGCTGGCCCAAGGTCACCCACTGAATTTTGTGGCCAAGTGGGGACAGTGGTAATCTGCCTGGTCTGTGCTGAGTGGCTGTCTCTGCTTCTTGCTCTTAAACACAAGCTGACTGGTTTCTTGGAATACTTCACCTGCTGGACGACTACTTCTGTGTTGCCTTGAAAGGCTTTCATAGTCTTATGGAAAACTTGCAGGGAGTCCAGTTGGTTCTTCAAAAAGAGATGCAGATGCCTGTCTAGCATCTGAAGTACCTTAACTAAGCTAGTAGAAGTTGATTCCCCCCTCCCCCAAGCCATCTCTCAAATTATCACATCAATAGCTGATTTCAAAAAAGTTTTTTTGGGGGGGGAGCACATAGTGGTTAAAGCTGAATGTGAAATGTCTGTTGTGATTCTAGATGACAAAAAAGTAAATGTGTTGAAAGGCCAGGTAAGTAAAGATTTTTAAAGATTTTTTTCGGTCAATACATGAGATTAAAACTCGAATAGGGCATTTTAAAATTTGGCTAATGTGGAGAAGATCCTTGAGTTTATTTTTGGCCTGGAAGCCAAACAGGTCCAAAATCTGACAGGTTTATTTGAAACTGGGTTAAGAGGTTGTTTTGAATATCAGAAGAAAGAACTGTCAAGTCAGTCATCAAACTATAGAAGCATATGTAGTGAGGTTCATTTGTCCTGGATACAAATGGCATTTTAAGAGTGTTTTCATATACTGCTGGAATAGCTACTCGGAAGTATTTACACCATTGTAATAACAATACTTAGTGACTGTATAGTACTTTAAAGTTTCTGTTCATTATCTTAGTAATCCAGTTCAGTAAAATAGACCAGTTTTATCATCCCAGGTTGAGGCTGGGGTTGTCAAAGGTTGCCTCATGAGCTTATGTCCGCATAAGATCTGAATTGGATCTTCCTAGTTCGCAGCTCCCAGTTTAAGCTACTCTGCAACACCACTGGCAGATTCCGCTTCAGTTGTGACATCCTAATGCTGTGCTTTGTGTATGTTTAGTTAGTAAGGTCCTTCAAATGACCTGCTAATGTGTACAGGATTGTAGTTCCAGGTTCCCAAGTAACAATGCAATGCTGAACCAAGTCTACTCAGAAGTAAGTACTATTCGATTCAATGGGGCTTCTAGGTAAGTGGAGTTAAAATTGCAGCCCAAGTCAGTCATACATAGCAGAGTAGTGCAAGCGGCTTTTAGCTTCTGGGACAGAAACACGTCTATCAAGTGCATTGTTCTCTGAATGATTGGTGGAAAGGATTCCTAGTATTAGGAAGAAAATGGGAAGGTGCAATGAAACTGGAGTATGTGGTTCAAAAGAGGACCAAATTGTTACCATGGAAGTTATCCAAAGATGCTGTCATTCTAAGGGCTTTTAATGTGCTCACATCAATGAAGGAAGGAGCAGGGTGCAGCCAATGGTTATCCATATATTTACAACAGAATCAGCCTTGAATTGGGCGCCCTGGTAAAGTGCCTGCATTTAGACCTGCAGAGAACATAGTCACTTACTAGGTTTAGCCAGTAAGTGCCTCAAAGAGTGGACTGTGTGTGCTTTTAGCTGTCAATCTTGCTTGATGATGATGCCTCTTCTGGAGACAACTGCAGGGAGACTTGAAAGACTTGAAGCTGTGGAAAGAAGCCACTGACTTTATTAGAATGAAAGCACTGCAATCCTGTGTTTTGCAACACAATGCACCATGACTCCTCAGTGGGGTGACTACAACTCAGCGCTGGACTTGACAGGTTCAGAATATTTCAGTATACATGATCTCTAATCCTTTCTAGCTTGCATACCAAGTGAGCTTGGTGTTCGGGGCCTGCAATAGCAGGGTCAGGGGATACATCTGCAGTAGAACTGACCACTCTGTTGCCCAACAGGCACCCTGTTCAGGCTTAGTTGGTCTGACAAGTGATGTGGAAATTTTGGTAAACTTCAGCATACATGATGACTCTTTAGTGCTGGCTTAGGAGTTTATTGCCTCCATGACAATTGACCTGTTAACTGGTTGAAATTGAAACAAAAGCCCCCATGAAGCTCGCCACATACTTCTCTTGTGTTGCAGGGAACAGCAAGAAACCACCAAGCTAATGTATGAGATAGGTTTCTCTAGGGAAGGTTGCGGGACTCAGTAGTGCAAATGCTGCCAAGTGAATAGGTTTTTGTCTTCCAAAAGGCCTGGTTTCTTTTTTGCTTGACTCTGGAAGATTCACTCATTGCAAGGCTGTCCAGGGGAATGGGGCCTGCCTGTCTGCAAGACCCAACAATGGGTGGGCATTTTTCTAGTGCTTTTATTTTTCTGCAGAAAAATGACTGCTCCATAAGTTCATTAGTAACAATGAATGAATGCAATTGCAAATACAATACAATATTAGGCAGGCATGGCCGTTTCAGTTTTTAGATTTATTTATTAAATGCAAGTAAAATAAATTGCAATAAATAGGCTGCTCTCTAGGGTATCATAAAACTTTCTTTTGCAACTTACCCAAATTAGCATAGGGAAGTTACCCTAGATTGAATAGGGTTTCCCCCTCTTGAAAACTTACATCACTGATAAAACCCATCAGCTAAACACACAAAATTGCTTTTTCAGTAGATTACTCTCACCATCTTGAAGGAATTGTATAATTCTGACAAATCCAGTGTGGTGGTTGAGAAGCTGTAACTTCCCTTAGGTGTTCATCAGCTTTGCAGAATTGTTGCTAGTTTAGGTTAAATATAAGGAAAATATTTTGACATCTGCTTTCATGCACTAGTGTAACAAACTCATTGGTAGATGTGAATTTGCAGAGCAATTGTTGCTTTTGTTTAAAACATTTGAGAACTCAACATGGGTCCTCCTTAATCCTCTCTTTAGGCTACACATAGGTCTTTCCAGCTGTCTTCTAAAACCTTTTCAGCTTCTCAAAATCCAGTTTGAAGGGAATCTAAAACTCCAGAGAAGGTTGTTGTTATTATTATTATTATTAATTAAATTTGTATACTGGTTGGTATATCTACTACCAGCACTGAGCAGTGTGACAGCCATTTTAGAAGCAGCTGGCTCAAGGGGTTCCGCCTAAAACAGAAGTGATTTCTGCTATGGGAGGTGCTTTCTCTTGCAAGTGCCACTGTCTTGATCACTGTTTTTGACCTCTTAACTAGGCATTTTGGACACAATACTTTACTTCAAATAACTCTGAGATTTGGTGTTGTCTTCTAACAGGAGAGAGCACAAAGAAATAAGATAATGCACTCTTCTCTAGTGCTTGGTTTTAGTATGCTGAAACACACTGCACTCCATTACCTTTTTAATAATATAGCTTTACTGATATTTTTCTGTGAAGTATGCAAACAAATGCAAAACAAACAGCAACAGTCATTTTGCATTAACCAAAACAAACACGAGGTTGGTGTCCACCAGCAAATTCTGGTATCACATAGAAAAGCAGAGTTTGATATTATCCCTCGAGACCCATTACCAGCATTCTTGAAAGTATACCTTGTATACTTTCCCCATCTCACCTCTTGTAGAAGTTAATTGCTAGCTGACATTTAGAGACACCTTTCAAACCTCAGCCTGGACTTTTGGTGACTTAATGAATAGATGCAAGTTATTTCTTTTCCTCAAGAAGAAGATCTCCAGAATGGCTGCAGTAAAATATAAAAAAACACATTAAAATATGTAAAAGAATAAAAGATGACAAAAATCTGAATTACATCAACAACTCCAGAAAATATAAAAAACTGGAAAGAGCATGGAATATAAACCTTTGAACCATGTCACAAAAGTGAATTCTTTAAGCTTTGCTGCTGCTCCAGGTTACCAGGAGACAAAACTTCACTTCTCAAGCAGCAGCCTTCAGAACATTCTTCTAGAGCAGTGGTTCCCATTTGGGTTATGCAGACCCATTGGGTCTGCAGATCACTAATTGGGAACC